GTTTGAAAGGCAGAGTTACAGAGAGAGGGACAGACAGAGTGAGAGAGATCTTCCATTCACTGGTTCACTCTCCAAGTGCAGCAATGGCAAAGCCAGGCCAAAGCCAGGAGCCAGAAGCTTCATCCGAGGCTTCCATATGTGTATAAGTGCCCAAGAACTTAGGCCATCTTCCACTGCTTTTCTCAGCCCATTAGCAGGAAACTGGATCGAAAGTACAGCAGCCAGGACTTGAACTGGTGCCCATGTGAGATACCAGTGTGGCAGGCAGCAGCTTTATGTGCTATGCCAGCCCCATAGTTTTTTTATAATACATTTTTTTTCCACAATCTTTCTGAAAACCCATTGTAGGTATGTATTTCAAATTGTGTTTGCACATGAAAATACTTACCTTTTAATTTTACTTTCCATGAAATTTCTGAAGTGGCCCCACAGTAATCCCAGATACTATCCCCAAAATGTTTAAGTCCACTAGTGATTGCCTCCTTTAAGTTAGTTCTACAACACTAAGGAAGTGTCACTACCAAGACAGGGTCTGGTACAAGCCACATTTATTCAGAAAATATTTGTTAAGCACATTTGAGGTTCTTGGCATTATGCTAGGTTGGGGAGAAATACAATAGTGAAGAAATACATATGTACTAAAATGTATGCTATCGTTTCACAAATAATTAAATAATAAATCATAGTAAGATACAAATGGTACATGAGAAGAGGCTGGCATACATAGGAGGGTATTGTGTCAATTAAGATTGCGTTCAGCTGCAAGCAAGCAAAAATCCGAAAGATGGTGGCTTGAACAAATAGGGATCATTTTCCTCATATTACTGTGAATTGGGAATAGAAAGCTTCTGGTGTTTTTATGGTGGTTCCAACATGAAAGTGCTGACGCTTATTTTGCTTTCTAGGCCTCTCCTTCATGGTCACAGGAGGTGGGGTGGCTGTGATGTTTGACAGACAGGAACTGGTTTGTGGTATGAGGAGAAAGGGGAGCCAAAATCAAGGATGACACAGATTTCTGGCTTGGACCACTACACAGAACTGCAGAAATTTCCTGCAACAATAGCTACAGGAGAAAGAGCAGGTTTGTAAAGAAGGAATCACCCTATGTCCTCTCTCTTGCTATCAGGAGAGTGAACATGTGATCTTGACTCAGCCAATCAGAATGACCCTAGCAACACAGATTTGTTTATGGATAAACCAATCAAAATCATTCCTGGTGAAGGGGGAGAAAAATACTCATTCTTTGCTGGTATTGCTCAGTGGTCAAGAAAGAGACTCTGCTCTAGCGATAACAATGAAGAGATGGATTCTGGAGGTTGTGTTTGAGTACTTGGACAGTCAGACCTGATGCAAATCAAGCACTGCATGCTTCCAGCTTGTAAATCAACACATTCTTTTGTCTCTTTCTATTTATTTATTTATACATTTGAACCATTTCGTTTCTGTTAAAAACTGAAGAGGACTTACTAATGTAGGGTCATTAATAGAAAAATGTCTATTAAAGTCATAAACATAGATGAGTTCCTCCAGGGAAAATGTATACAAGGAGAAGGAAAGCAAACCTAGGAGAGAGTCCTGAGGATCTAGACACTGCAAACACACAAAGGATACTGAGAAAGGGCAGCCACAGAGGTAAGAGAAGAGCCAGGAGAGAGCATGGATAAGGATTAAAATAGTCTCCACTCTCAGTGAAAGGGGAATGACTCTATCAGTGGTCCTGCAAAACCTATGGCTTGATAATGACTTGGCCTAAAGCTACGAGACAAATGGGGTCAGCCCCATCCCAATCAATGGACATGGACATAGGGTGGTCTGGTCTCTCATTGGAAGACTGGGTAGCCTACTAGATGTGAGGCTGAGAAACAGAAGGAGAGTGTGGATTTGAAACACTATGTCTATGGAAACAGAACTGTGTACCGCCTAATTTGGAGCTCATGGGAGGGCTGACAGAGAGGTAAGTTAAGTCTAAGGTAACTTTGGACTTTATAGACTGGCCAAGTGGGTAATGGTAAATTTTTATACTGAAGTTTGGACAGGGAATAAGGTGCATCTCGGGGGCCAGTGTCATGGCTCAGCAGATTAAGCCACCACTTGCAATGCCAGCATCCCATACGGGCAGAGGTTCCAGCTCCTGCCAATCCACTTCCAATCCAGATCCCTGCTAATTCACCTTGGAAAACAGAAGATGGCCCAAGTACTTCAGCCCCTGCCACCAAACTAAGAGACTCAGATGAAGCTCCTGGCTCCTGGCTCCTGGCTTTGGCCTCGCCCAGCCTTGGCTGCTGCAGCCATTTAGAGAGTGAACCTGCCTGCAGAATAGAATGTCTGTCTGTGTATCTCCCCCCACCCCTCCATATCTCTGCCTTTCAAAAAAAAGTACATCCTAATATCTTGAAAGCGTTGATTCAGTGTCCTGTTAGGATACTTCTAACTTAACATTTTCTAGAAATAGGGAGAAATAGTTGAAGCCTTCTAGAACAAATGGGAGTGAGACAGTATTCAGGAAGAATCAAAGGGAAAGAATGGGGCTAAGATATTCAGGGCATCAGAAGCATCCAGAAAACTTTGCTGTAGCTGAGTTTGAATATTCAGTATATATAGAAATGTATGTTAATGATCACTGAACACTAGGAATAGTGATTAAAAACTGAGAGTAATGTCTAAACCAGAACTCATTGGTATAGGGATTTGTGAAAAGAACACAAGAAGCTGTATCTTGTTCAGTAAATAGAGCCATGGCCTTCACGAGTACATGAGAAATGGGAACATACATGTCGAAGGCCAATGTAACTTGGAGGTCTGCTCTTAGGTGACCTCTCATTACATAGGGTCTCCATTTGCACTGTAGGAAAGAGCACTGAAGGAAGTAAAGGCAGCATTCAACCTTGTTTTATTTTCATGTTATTCTAAAAATGATTTAATATAAGAATTTGCAAGCATGAATGGAGAGGAGCTTTGTGGAAAGTGTAATATCAAGTGTATTAAAAATGTATGACACACTGTATATTCTTGTAGGAGATCCATCCAGGACCCCTAGGAGATGATAAAATGGCATAAAATGTGATTAATAATATTGTAAATCCTGTTGATTGGAAAACTCAGGGACACATGACAGATTGACCCGACTCTTTGATTTAAGCCAATATCACAGAAATAACCTTTCAGATGCTGAAAAAGAATAATGTCTTGCCTGCAGGACAGAACACAACATAAGAAAATGCAGCTGTCTTCCAAGGTTTGTTTTCATACATTAAATGCCCTCAAAACAGTTTATGTCTGAAACTTTATGTTTAGATACCATTCTCATTAGCCAGAATTATCACTATTTCAGTAACCCTTCTAAGTAATCCCTATAATTTCAGTAAAACAGAAGAAAAAAGGAAATACGCCAAGATGCTAATAGTGAAAATCTTCAGGTGATGAGCTGAAGTGGTTTCGCTTTACTTTATGGTATTTTTCAAGTTTTTTATGGAGACATACAGGTATAATTATAGAGAAAAAAGAGCCAATATTTACATTTAATAAAATCAAAGTGTTAAAAAACAAAAAGAGTTTTAAAAACAAAAATGTTATGAGCACTTTCCATCATATTTACACAAAAAATCATTAAGAATAAGTGAATCTAATGAACAACTCATGCAGAACGCAATGATGTTCAGACCCACCGTTGTCTGCCCAGTCTCAAGGCATGCCTGAGTGTCTCTTCTTCATGTTCTTATACAAGGGCACGTCAAACAGTTCACAGAAAATGGGATTAAAAGATAAGTTTATTTTGGTAGAAAACAAATTTGAAATCCATGGTTCTTTTTTTTTTTTCATAGTACAGAGTCTCCATTAACTTTTTGAAGAATTTTGCCTTCCTTAGAGAAGAATGTTCTAGAAATCTAGTCTTTCCACTCCCTTTGTATTAGACTATTCTATTTTTTTGCCTCCCAGTGTCTTTTCTTCTGTCATTCACAACCCAATATTCCTCTGAAGAACGTGTGCTTCCAATCTTGGATCACAAGTTTATAGTAGAGTGGACTCCTGGCACAGGCATGGATATATGAGTCACTCCTGGCTAACCACAGCAGGACATCCTCTGGCTACAGCAGTTGGTACAGGAATGGGAATGATAAATCTTCAAGAGATATAGTGAGACTAAGGAAGAAGTGTATGTTCTTTTCTGCTAGACTTGAACTTGGTTAAGTGCATGTCTAGAGCTTTCATGAAGATGAATGGAAGGAGTCAGAGAAGAGCAGATAACAGCCTTCTGTTCTCTTCCTATTGTTGGAGGTGTTAGGGCAGAGCGGAAACTTGCCCTACAGTGCCCATACACTTTAACTCCATTTGTTATACAACTGCCACAGTATAATAATTTTGTGTAAACAGGACATTTTTAATACTGTTTAAAAAGTTTTTTAGCTTCCAAGCACAGGCAGCAATAATATGTCTGTGATATGAATTTAACCTAAGACAGAATACTCCTACTCAGTGCACACATTATAGAACTGTACATGGCAGATCTGTGAGCAAATTACGGTGAAGAATAACCATAGTCACCAGCCCACCACGAAGTTCAAGACTTTACTGTCACAGAGAAAAAAAATGTCATCAATATTAAACGTTTTGGCTCTGCTCATCTTTACCTACCCAGAAAACAGGTTAAAAAAAAATGTCAGTGCCTTGGTTTCTCAAACAAATAAATCTTTTTTTAAAAAAAATGCCAATGCCAGTTGGAAAAAGGAAACAATCTCTTCTTAACACTTTTCTAAGAAACAGCTATTTTGCTATTTTCCCATTTTCAAAGTTATCATTTTCTAATTTTCATCTTATTTTTATCAAAAGGTTAAAATTTAAATAATCCAAGTAAAAGAGTCAAGTATGAAGGAGAAAATTAATTCTTTCTCCTAATTACCATCTTCTTCCTCAAAGACAAGTAACATTAATAATTTGAGTGTTCTTCTCAGAAGCTCCTATATCCATATGCATTGTCAACAAATAAAAACTTACCTGTGCATAGCAAATATAAATATTCAGATAAATGGTGTGCTTCGCAAGGCAGGGGTAAGTCTCATGACCCTCAAGCCTCCATCTATGGGTCTGAATTAAAAGGCCCAGAAAGTCTTTCTGAGGGAGGCATCTTCATTCTGCAAAGAAAATGTAGGTCATAGTTATGCAAATAGAAGGCCAGCAGATACCCAGTGTCCAGAATGAGAATGTAAGGGGACCAATTCCTGGATGTGTGCTTTAGCAAAACCCACCCCTATCCTAGTGTGCAGAGTTTGGAAAGGAGGTGGAACAATTTGAAAAGGGATTCCTGTCCTTGTCTTCTGGAAAAGAGGAGACATAAATCTCTCCCTTAAGTCAAGGAAACTAGTCGGGAGCCTGTGAGGTTCATCAGAAAAGCTACTGAGGTCTCCCTGGGAGGGCAGCAGAACATCAGGGCCCAAGGGCTTCCAGGAGAGGGCTTTTGCAGAGAACAGAGCTAAGGATGGATTTGTGATTTGTGATTTGGAGTATAATGGCTGAGCCTGGTTGCTAACTAAATACGTTCACAGCACAAGCATGGGTCATCCCAGCTCCCAAGGATCGTGCAGCCATGAGGCAACCCAGCAGCCGCAGACAAGTATCCCCTGGCAGTAGTGCCAGGACCATTCAGTACAACTCAGATTAGGAGCAGCTCACCATTAGAATAGGACTGAGTGGACTCTGCTGTGCGGGCTCCCCCTGGTGCTGAGAGCTGGATGGACTGTCTTTTTTTTTTTTCTTTTCTTTTCTTTCTTTCTTTCTTTTTTTTTTTTTTTTTTTTTGACAGGCAGAGTTAGATAGTGAGAGAGAGAGAGGGAGAGAGAGAGAGAGAGGGAGAGAGAGGGAGAGAGAGGGAGAGAGAGAAAGGTCTGTCTTCCTTCCATTGGTTCATCCCCCAAATGGCTGCTATGGCCAGAGTGCTGTGCCAATCCGAAGCCAGGAGCCAGATACTTCCTCCTGGTCTCCCATGCGGGTGCAGGGCCCAAGCACTTGGGCCATCCTCCACTGCCTTCCTGGGCCACAGCAGAGAGCTGGACTGGAAGAGGAGCAACTGGGACTAGAACTCAGAGTGGAGGATTAGCCTAGTGAACCGCGGCGCCGGCCCTGGATGGACTGTCTTTAAACTGCCTAAATCCTGAGGTTCTTATACGATGCATTAATATAGGTGGACACTTGAGCAGTGAGTAGGAAAGACAGGAGAGACGTGTTCACATCAAGGGAAGCATACCAAGCTGGTTACATGCAAGATACCACATTCTACATGTTTATATAATAGTGTTTCAAAAAGATCTTGGAAAATGGAATTAAAAGTAACATTATTCTAGTGTAAAAATTCTGAAATTGTAACATGAAGGATCTTCAAAAAGTTCACAGAAAATGTGTATTATGAAAAAGCAGCTTGGATTTTAAAATATTTTTGAAATTTTGAAAAAAAAATTTTGAGGGGCCAGCATTGTGGCATAGCTGGTAGAGCCGCTGCCTACAACACCAGCAAATGATAGTGGTTCCAGGTCGAGTCCCAATTGCTCTGCTTCAGATCCAACTCCCTGCTAATGCACCTGGGAAAGCAGCAGAAGACAGCCCAAGTTCCTGGGCTCCTACACCCACATGGGAGACCCAGATGGGGCTCCTGGCTCTTGGCTCCTGGCTTTAGCCTGGCCCAGTCCTGGCTGTTGAGGCCATTTGGCAAGTGAACCAGCAGATAGACAATCTCCCTCTCTCCCTCTCTGTAATTCTGACTGCCAAATAAATAAATAAATCTTTTAAAAATTGCAGTTAGTATCCTAGCACATATATTTTTATTTATCAATGAGATAAACTCCTAGAAATAAAATTGTTGGTCAAAGGTATGTGCTTTTAAAAGGGTAGTAGATTCTGCCAAATTATCCTTCAAAATGTTTGCCTTAATTTATATTCTGATTAAAGAGGTTTGAATCATTTTATCATGTTTTTGAAGTACAGAGTATTAAATGCGTATTTTTTCATTTTAATGATGAAAATATCATTTCATTTAATGTTGCAAAAACTCCTAGAAGTTAAAAAAATTATCTCCTGGGGCCAGCACTGTGCCATAGTGGGTAAAGCCTCCACCTGCCACGCTGACATCCCATATGGGTGCTGGTTCGAGTCCTGGTTGCTCCACTTCTGATCTAGCTCCTTGATAATGTGCTTGAGAAAACAGCAGAGGATGGCCCACGTCTTGCACCCATGTGGGAGACTCAGAAGAAGTGCTAGGCTCCTGGCTTCAGATTAACCCAGCTCAGGCTATTACGGCCATTTGGGGAATGAACTAGTGGATGGAAGATCTCTCTCTCTGTCTCTGCTTCTGCCTCTGCCTCTCTGTAACTCTGCCTTTCAAATAAAATAAATCTTTTAAAAAAATTATCACCTATATTTTTCTAATGAGGAAACCAAAGCTGGGAAAGGTTGTATAACCATTATATTGTTAATAAATACAAGAACAAAGATTCAAACTCTGATGTATTTTGTTCTAAAGCTCATTTGTCATCCATTCATTAAATAGAGCTTACTATATTTCAGGAACTATTCTAAGCATATTATATGTGTCTGTCATTTCATCTCTGAATCAGGTCTTTAAGGCACAGGCAATTAATATCCTCATTTTACAGATGAGATAACTGGCAATGTCAAATTAACGTACTTGCTCAAAAATGACGAAGATGTGGCTGGAACCTCAGCTATTTGGCTTCTATTCATTTTTAACTCAGCAGCAACCTCTTCAAAATTATTGTTTTTCTGCAAAGGAAAAATTCAACTCTGCAGAGGCAATTGCTCTGTATGTCAGTATTTATAAAAAATATGATAAAGAAATGAGAGTGGACTGAAAGAAACCATTTCAGTGGTCTTCAAATGGTTACAGACTTTGATATCCATCCATTAGCATCCCTCCCTTTCTCTTTCTCAAACTCTAGATGTGACACTATCTCTCAGGGTTTAAAATGCTTGTCAGTCTTGTCTATATCCAACTTCATTGCTGTCATATACCTTGTGATATGAATTTAATCACTTGGGTTGAGGGGACCAGATCTGTAACATCTGTTGTACCCTCAGATCCTCTAAATATTATGGGCAGGTATAAATCAGATTAAGATTGGTTGATGATTTGAACAGAAAACTTAGAAAAATGCAAAATGAAAAGCATTACTTCAATATCTGTTTTTAATTAATCCATTTTACTATATAGCTTTTAAATCAAATTTTAAAAAAAAATTAAGCATTATTTTAAGTAAGAGGGAAATGGCAGTATAATTGTTTAAAGACGACATGGTAATACCTAAAAATTTTTGTTTTATAAAGGAACTCAAAACGGATTTCCAAAAAATACTATACACCCAAACAATTTTACAATTTAAATAATATAAAATATCTAGAACTTAACTGATCATAAAAGATCATTTAATAAGTTCTCCCTGATTGGTGACAACTAACTGAGCACCAAAAAGGAAACCTGTAGAAGTGAAATGGACACTATGAAAAACAGTGACTCGATCAACCCTTGTCCTGACCGCTGATGTACAATTTAATACTTTATCCCTTTTAGTTTTTTTTTTTGTTGTTGTTGTTCTACTTAATACTATTGGTTGAACTCTGTAATTAACACACAATTATTCTTAGGTGTTTAAATTTAACTGAAAAGTGATCCCTGTTAAATATAAGAGTGGGAATAAGAGAGGGAGGAGATGTACAATTTGGGACATGCTCAAGCTGACTTGCCCCAAATGGTGGAGTTAAGAAATGTGCCAGGGGATTCCAATTCAATCCCATCAAGGTGGCATGTACCAATGCCATCTCACCAGTCCTAGTGATCAATTTCAGGTCACAATAGATCATAATGATAGGTCTAAGAGTCAAAGGGATCACATAAACAAGAGTAGTGTCTGCTAATACTAACTGATAGAATAAAAATGGAGAGAACGATCCAACATGGGAAGTGGGATACATAGCAGACTTGTAGAATGGCAGATGTTCTAAACAGCACTCTGGCCTCAGAATCAGCTTAAGGCATTCGGATCTGGCTGAAGAGCCCATGAGAGTATTTTAGGCATGGAAAGCCAAGACACTCTGGCAAAAAAAAAAAAAAAACAAAAAAAACTAAATGAAAGATCTCTGTGAGTGAGATCTCAGTGGAAATAACGGGCCATCAAAGAAGGAGGTACCTTTCTCTGAAGGGAGGAGAGAACTTCCACTTTGACCATCAAAGAAGGAGGTACCTTTCTCTGAAGGGAGGAGAGAACTTCCACTTTGACTATGACCTTGTCTAAATAAGATCGAAGTTGGTGAACTCAAGAGGCTTCCATAGCCTTGGCAACTCATGACTAGAGCCTAGGGAGATTACTGATGCCTTAAACAAGGGTGTCAATTTGTTAAGTCAACAAGAGGAGTCACTGTGCACTTACTCCTCATGTAGGATCTCTGTCCTTAATGTGTTGTTCAATGTGAATTAATGCTATAACTAGTACTGAAATAGTATTTTACACTTTATGTTCTGTGTAGGTGCAAACTTTTGAAATCTTTATTTAGTATATGCTAAATTGATCTTCTGTATATAAAGATAATTGAAAATGAATCTTGATGTGAATGGAATGGGAGAGGGAGCAGGAGATGGGAGGGTTACAGGTGGAAGGGAAGTTATGGGGGGGTAAGCCATTGTAATCCATAAACTGTACTTTGGAAATTTATATTTACTAAATATAAGTTTTAAAAAAAGATCACGTAATAATATTGCTATACCAAATAAAGTATTTTACTAGATTTAACATCTTTGACTATACCAAGTTCCTTGATAAAGCTCATGGAAAATGGAGTTAAAAGGTAAGTTTGCTGCAAAAAAATTATGGAATCCACACATAGCTTTTGCATAATAGACATCTTCTATTACCTTTTTAGTAAAAGGCAAAAGATTTATATGATCTGAAGAAAAGCCAGAGTATCTATTAACTTTTTAAATTGCACTTCATATTGCTATGTCCATACAAATATAAATATATAAATAAAACTATTTCTGTGACAACTTAAAGCTATAAGGTAATCAGTTCATGGGAGTAATCAATTCTACTAAAATATTTTTAGTTAGAAAACTCAGATGATTTCAAAGTTT